CTTGAGAAATACCAGGATCAAACCTCACATTTCTACCTGTCCCCTCTTCCCAAGCTCAGATAAATGCAGGAAAAGTCAGTGCCAAGTTCACCATTAGCCACAGGAGCACTGATAAATCCCATTTTTTCCCTTCCCCATCCCATACCCAAGGACAGACAGTGCCATGGAAGCACCCACTGGCTGTGCAGGGGACAGAGAGCAACTTCAGTGCTGTAATTAGCAGTAAGCTTTAACAAAGCCTTTAACGCAACCCTTGCTGCCAGCACTCTCTCCGGGTGGCCAAGAGCACACAAAATGGCTTTAGTTTATACCCAAACCCTTGGAAACAGGTAGCAAGCCTGGAAAATTCACTTTGGAAACAGTACTCCTCCCTCCCAATCCAGGAGGGCAGGGCTGTGAGGCACCAGGAGCATCACAGCTGCCTTCAGCCCTGCCCTACCCCCATCCTCCAAGGAAGTGCAGAGCTGCTCCTGGCACTGCAATTCCCCAGCCTGGTGTTGGTACTGATTCCCTGGTACTGGGAATCAGTCTGGGCAGTCAGCTATGTTCTGCTCCTACAAGAGGATCCCAAATAGCTCATAAAAAGCCGTATTTGACTTCCCTGTGTGCTCAGACCAAGGTGGGGAAGGTAAAGGTGATTAAAGAGGAGGGAAAATAAAACAGATATTTTTGCCAGTTGATGAAAAACCAATGAAATGGGTGGAAAGCCAAGCCCAGCAAGGCTGGAAACCCCAGCTCAGGCAGCCAGAGAGCAGCAGAGGAGGAGGCAGGAGAGGCTGCTGTGAGCTCTGGGTGTTTGCAGCTGCCTCCCTGCCTGCAGGAGCTCCGGCAGAGCTGCCTGCCGCAGGTTGCGTGCGAGGAGCAGCCTGCACAACCCCCCTTTATCTTCCCTAGGAGCTGGGACATGCCCAGCATGGAAAAAGGTGCTGGGACATGCCCAGCATGGAAAAAGGTGCTGCTGCACCAGAGAGAGAGCGTTCTGGTTTGCTGAGGATTCAGGCGATGGAAGCAATACTGCAGCAAGAGGACGGCATCAGGTGCTGCAGCAGCTCTGCAGATGCTGGGAAGAGGATGCTGTGGCTGCTCCAGCCTGGAAAAATCATGGATGACCCCACCAGCAGGCAAAGAAGCTATGAGCACCCTCTAACCTGAGCCAGACACACCTCTGATTTCAGAACTACTAAAAGCACAGCTGGAACAGAGAGATCAACCCACTGCAGCCACAAGCCACCAGGACCAGACCCCTATGCTGGAGCTGGTGAGTGTCCCCAGACCATTCCCTGCTCCACTGCAGTTTAATCCAGCCCCACTCTACAGGTAGGAAATCAGGATCCCGGGATCTGAGGTGAAAGCCCCAAGGCTGCTCATGGCAGCATCATTAAGGGAAGCAGTGAGGAAGAATTGGGACCATTACACTTCAGTGCTCCCCAGGAGACAACACCCACTGATATTGCATCGGCTCCTTCCATCCTAATTCTGCTGAGAGGGGAACGTCGTGTTTCCAGACCTGCCACCCTGGGCAGGACCTGGAGCTGGCAGGGACAAGGAAGAGAAGCTTGCCACAGTGACAGAAAGCTTCCCCAGTGCCTTGTCCCCACATGGCTGTTTCCACAACACCAATTTCAGCACATCTCCACAGACAACATGTTGGAGTTTCACAACCAAGTGTTTCAGTCCTTTCAATGGAGAAGAGCTTGGCCAAGTGGCCACAGTTGGGCTGTTGGTGCTCCCACACCAAATCCAGGTAATTCTCCTTCTCTATTGGCCATGTTGGATGGGGTTTGGAGCAACCTGGTCTAGTGGAAAGTGTCCCTGTCCATGGCAGGGGGTTGGAACGAGATGGGCTTTAAGGTCCCTTCCAACCCAACCATCCTGGGGTTCCATGACTCTCTCCTTCAAGAAAGACAAGGATAACTCATCACAGAGCATCTGTCACTGGTACTCACCTCCCCAGCCCTGCAGACCTCATCTGCCATCTCCAGCCAGAAAGAGGCTCCAGGAGGATCCTCATCCAGAAAGGTGGGGTTGGTCCACCGTGAAGCTGAGGCTGCACAATGCACCCTTGGAAAGGCCTTTGGAAAGGGAACGGAGGAAACAGCTGGATTTCAAGAGCGAGAAAGGACCAGAGAGGCACAGCTGTAGCAGCAGAGGACATGTGCTCTGTACCCCAACTCGACATCACTCGCTGACCACTGGAAACAACCGCAGAGACACCGCAGGAACAGCAAACACACAACTGCGCCTTCTTCCCTCCGAAACGAAACCCCCCGAAAACGTCATTATAGCCCTTAAAATGCCTCCTGCAGCACTTCAAACCCCAAGGGCAGGCCTGCACCTCCCCAGCTGTGTTGTGATGACCATGCTGAGAGAAGAGACCCAGAGCTTTCCAATGAGACAGGTATTTATTTAGTTCAAGCGCTAAGGATTTGTTCTGCTGTCGTCGTTGGTTCATATCATCAAACAGAGCTGAGGTACCAGTGACATTCCAACATGAAGAAAAAGGAACCTTTTTTCCCCCCCTTACACAATTTTTTCAACTACTTTTACCAAGACAAAAAGTGAGGCATGGAGTAGCTGCATGAGGTACTGTACAACAAGCAAGCCAGAGCAGGAGGAGAAAAGAAACAGAGCAGAAACCTTCACTGGTGGCAAAATCAGCATTAAAATAGTCTGTTCCCATGGTTCTACCAGCCACAGAGATGGAGCAAATGAAAATTAACACCTCAAACCTCAGAGATGGATGGTGAAATAAAAATATAAAGGCCGTGTTGGTCCTGTGCTCACTTGGAAGTGCCTTTCCCCTGGAAAACTGGGGTTAGGACAGGATTGTGGGCACATTAAGCACTGACTATGAGCAAGGCCATGCATGTCACATACCTGGCTGTCCTGAGCAGAGCCAGGGACCACCTTGTCCTTGTTCCTGCAGCTGTGCTGGACACAGAGCTGTGGGCAGGCTCCTCTCCACACCTCTGTTTAGAGGGAGTTGGACAAACCTGCTCTCCAGCAGCAGCTCCCAGTGAAAGCAGCCATACCGGGATAAACCTGGCAAATCCAGTGCTTAAAGCTTGGAGCTATGGGAAGTAGAGTGGGTGACTATCAGAAGCAAAACAAAAAAGGATGTGCTTGTGGGAAACAGCCAAATGAGGACCAACAGAATGAAGAACCAAATGGGATAAAACCCAAAGGAAGAAGCAGCAGGATGAGGCGTTTCTGCATGGTCACGAAGAGTACAAGACAGGAAGCAGCCAAGTTTCCTTCCCCCACAGAGCTTCTTTTAAATAAAGAATGATCCTTTGTCACATATCATTGATGTTTATTTTCAAGACATGCCACGTCAAAAAAACTCGCCTTTAATATTGCATTAGAAAAGCACTTTTACATCTCGTTCTGCCTTGAAGTTATCCTTGTGCAGAGCTGCTAGAAAACCCAGGGCAGGGCACAAGCCTAGCATTCCCCTCAGGAATGAGGAATTCCAACTCTGTGCCTGCTTCCTGGTGCAAGAGGTGGTGAGGAGGATTCCCTTCCTCTTCCCCAGGTGGTTAGTTTAAAGGGGCAGAAGAGAACCAAGGAGGAGCCTGAATGAACCTGCAATTGTCCATTTAAGTAGCAATCACAACACAGGCTCGAGAATCCCTTCCTGCACTGCAGCTCAGCCAGGTTGGCCCAGCAAACAATGTATTTACAGTTGTGTTTATTAACTGACACAGCAACTTCACAATGACTAGTAAAGATTAAAAGGGTGCACTTCTAGTGTGTTCCATTCCGTGTTTTTTGGGTAGCTACAGCTCGCAAACACCATTAAAGCTCTACACAGATTCCTCAGCCAAAGGAAAACAACAAAATCAGTACTGAAAAGAGTAAAAAAAAAAAATTAAGCCAAGAAATAAATATCAAAGAAAAAAAAGGTTAATTGTAAGCCTAGGTCAATAGGAAACTAAATCACTAGTTATTTACCCAAACTATACAGCTCCAGGGAACTGAACTAAACAAACTTGGAAGACTGAACATAAAAAAATGCTAAAAAATAAAGGCATAAATCTGCATAATCAGAAGTTGGTTTCCAGCCTACTCCACTCCCTCCCTTTCCATCTAAGGTGTCCCAACTAGGTTTCTGTAGGATCACAGTAAACAGCCCTTCCCCAGCCGCCCTACACGCCGGAGAAGCAGGTGCCATCCCCCTCTCCCACAGCTCTCCGCTGGGGCAGCTGCTCTTCCCTCTTTCCTCCAAATTCCAAAGGTTTCAATCGACTTTGGCAGGTTTTAGTACCAGTCCTGATCTCAGTGTTTCCCCTAAAAAAAAAGAAGCAAAATGCTTTCTCCTCCACCAGCTGAGCTGTTCCATTCCCATCTCTCGGGCAGTAAGAATTCACTTCATTGCTGTTCTACACAAAAAGGACCAAAAAATGCTCTTAAAACTCTTCTCGCACTCGAAACATTCTTTCCCTGTTTCCTGCAAGTGTTTTGCTAATGCACATCCACCCTCTCCTTTCCCCCCAACCCCTCCAGAAGCCATTCTTCCTGGGCAGAGAGCCACTCTGGACTTCCCACTATGCTTCCTTGGGAATGCGCTCCCGCTGCCTCGGCAAGAATTCCCAAATCCAGCAGCCTGTGGTGGTGTCCAACCCCTGCAAATGTCAGGTGGGGTTTTGACACCAGGCAGACCTGCTCTGCTCCCTGGAATGAAGAGCTTGGGTTGGATTTTTGTTTGATTCCTGTAAGGATAAGCGTTTAGCCCTCAGCACCTCCGATCCTGCCTGCTGCCTACGAATTCCCAGCTTGCCAGAGAAATCCAATGGGTCAGATTTGCAAGCCTTCTTCTGCACATACTTCTCATCTAAGTCCAATCCCAAACTTACTCAGTTGCCATCATTTCAAAGTGCAATATCATAACATATTAAAAAAAGGAACAAATATTAAGAAATTGTACCTATTTTTGTTGGGTTTTTTGTTTGTTTTTTTTAAAGTTATAACTAGAATATGCTGGAATATTTTGGCTTTTTTTATCTTATAAATAATGAAGACACTGACATTTTCTGTGTGTGTGTGTGTGTGTGTGTGTGTGTGTGTGTGTGTGTGCTTGTGAAGCTAATAGATCATCTCCACGAGACAGCCAGCGATGATGAACTGCGATACGTTATTACTGGAAGGGGAAGGTTCAAGCCAATATTCACACTGCAGTCAATGAAGAGGACAGGGAGGGAAAGCAGTGATGTTCTGGAGAAAGGTAGAAGCCACATGGTATTAGCAGGAACAGCCTCCTTCACTGACAGGCTGCTCTTGAGGCTTTTCCAGTTTTATGTCAATCACTGGGAGGGAAGAAGTTAAGGCAAACAGTTCTCCAATTCTGTTTCCCTACCAAGAGCAGGACTTGGATTGGAATTTCCAGTATTTCCCACTGAAATGCTTGAAAAGATCAGTTTCAAACCCCAGTCAAGATCAGGTTTCTCACCAGACCCTCTCACCCTGCACTGGCACATTGAGTATGTAGCAGAAATGATGTCAGCCCCCAAATCCCCAGAGACCCTGAGGGATTTCCTGCCTCAGAAATTGAAGATGTATGAATACACTGCACTGTTTCCATGGAATCACAGAATTGTTTAGGTTGGAAAAGCCCTCCAAGATCATTGAGTCCAACCATCCCCCCAGCACTGCCAATGCCACCGCTAACCATGTCCCCAAGTGCCACATCCACATGGCTGTTAAATCCCTCCAGGGATGATGACTCCAGCCCGGCCCTGGGCAGCCTGTGCCAGGGCTTGGACAGCCCTTCTGGGGAAGGAATTTTCCCTAATATCCAACCTAAATAACAGAATCATTTAAGTTGGAAAATACCTCCAAGATCATCAAGTCCAATCTATGACCGATCACCACCTTGTCAACTAGACCACGGCACTAGCTGCCACATCCAGTACCTCCTTCAACACCTCCAGGGATGGTGACCCCACCACCTCCCTGGGCAGCCCCTTCCAATGCCTGTCAACCTTTTCCTTGAAGAAATTCCTCCTGATGTCCAACCTGAACCTCACCTGGAACAACCTGAGGCTGTATCCTCTTGTCCTGTCACTTGTTACCTGGTTCAGAGAGAACCAGTCACAGCCTGGAAATCCACAGTGCAAAACCAATGCTACACTGAAAGTCTTCCAGCTATGGGTATCCAGGAGGTGTGGAGGAATGGCTATGTGAAAAGGGACATGATTTCCTTGGAGCTGACAACCCAGCTGGTAGTATGGTGTAAGGCCTACAGCAGCTGTGACTGAGCCTTGAACCTGCTGATAAGGAGTCAGCTCTGCCTGGCAGAGCTGGCTCTGACCGGCTCTGAGTCCGGTGTCAACAAGCTCCCTGGAATTCCTGAGAACATCCTGGAATGTGGACAGACACTTGCTTGCACCAGTCATAAGTTTGCCCTGGACACTTGGACAAGGGCAATAAACCAATCATGTATCCGCTGCATTCACGTACTCTGTGTGAATATCTGTATGTACGTTGTAAGCACTAAGAATAAAGGAGAGCAACCATACTCATATTGAGACTCATCGTTACTCCAGGTCCAGATCCCACACTCCAACAAGGAAGGACCTTGCCTTTTGGCTCAAAGAACAAGGAAACTGGAGTCAGCACGAGCCTGGACGAACTCACAAAGGGACAGCTCAATTCCTTCTCCAGCTCCTGCTCCTCTGTACTTCACAGTCAACTGGCAAGTACTTCCCTCTCACTGCCCTGTCCACACTCAGCTCTGGGGCAGGCCAGAGAGGTTGTTTGGGCTGGAATAGTGGCTGGTCCATCCCTGGAGGTGTTTAAGGCCAGCTTGGAACAACCTAGTCTAGCGGAAGGTGTCCCTGCCCATGGCAGGGAGTAGAACTGGATGACCTTGAAAGGCCCCTTCCAACCCAGACCATTTTGTGACTGTGTTTCCATGGACAGAGGTGACAGCCTGTGCTCTGTCAGAAGCCCCAGTAGGACATTCCAAAAAGGCTGTTCCCCCTCAGGCTGTGCACACTGCTAACCCCTCAGAGTACTTACACCAGCTCTGGATGTGCCATCCTGAACTCTCCCATCAATCCTTGCTCTAGTCAAACCTCTCTGCTCACCAAAGCTCTGGCACCACCCTGAACTCACCCCTGCCAATGACAGCTAATATCCAACAAGGACAAAAGGTCAATGCAGAGTTGCCTGCTCTGAACTTGCCTGGGATAAGCTTCTCCCTTTGTAGCTCTCCAGTTCCCAGTGGATGCACTACAGCTACAACCTTACACAGAAGGAGCTTTGAATGCTAATCCCCAACTCAGAGCACAAGTCTCCAGGATTTCCCTTATCAGTGACCACAGAGGCAGAGAGATCACCCAGCTGGTACTTCCAACTTAAGTCTTTAGGGGGTTCAAGTTGCTTTTAAAAGAGGTTAGGAGAAAATAAACACAAAAAGGGAAACAAAAGACCAGTAATTCATGTTAAACATTTGGTCCTTTTGGCTGTTCTAAAGCTTGACACCTATTTAAGTTGGAGATGCTTGACATGAGCCTTGGCAGATTGCATCCCTCAGCATGAGTGGTTCAAGATCCTTGAACCCTCCGTGTTCTGCAGAACAGCCCATCGAAAATCCACCCTTGTTAATCCTGCAGCTGTCTGGGAGACAATCCTATTCCATTTCTGCTATCTGCAGGCTGCAGGAAGCCCAATTCCAAGTGCCCTTACTGCACTCCCATTTAAGAGACTGGTGATCACAGTCCCTGATAGAGAAGGCACAGGCCCAGCAGCCACTGCTTGTACACTCTGCCACCATCTCATTAACAAACATTGCTGCTCATTAACCTTCTGGGGACCTGCATAACAAGGTATTTGTGATCAGTCAAGTTCATATCACAAAAAGCTTGTGCCTTAGCAGCTGCAACCCACAGCTCCCCAAATCTTTCCTTTCCCTATACAGCAGGCTGACATTTCAGCACCAAGCTTGTCCCTCTCCTACAGTTCCTGCTGCAATTTTCCTCCAAGGCACCATTCCTCCTCCATTTCCCAGCTGCCAGCTACATGATCCTTACTGCAAATAAAACCAACAACCCTGAAAAAGTTCCTATTCCCAAAAAAACTTACCCACTTTTAGCATCTTATCACCTCTTTCAGTCAAGATACAGCACAACTCTTTGCTTTCCCCGAGTGTACCCATGGGACTTTCCTTGCTCTCTGTCCCTTCACCTCCCACCTGAGGCAGGGGCGGGCAGGCCTCTCTCTGTCTTCTGCATCACCTTTGCTCTCTAATCCAAGCAAGCAAAAGCAGGAATTCAGGTGGAGCAGACTGTAAGAAGTGGCTGAGTTACTACTCTTCACCTCCAGAGCTACACTCAACCACCACAACTGCTCCCACAGTTCTGTCACAAGCCACCCACAAAAGTACCTTATGGGCTTTCCTGCCCTTCCCAAACGCAATTTAGTGATTCCAATTTAGCCACACTGCTTGTTATGCAGGAACTTTTATCCCTTTTCCATTCCTCATGCCATCCCTATCCCCTTGGCCAAGGCTGATCCCATCAGTTGAGTCTTCTCCTTCCTCACCCCAGAGCTATCTAGGGTCCAGCACTGTGACAGGCTGTGAAGTTATGGGATCTCCATCCTTGGAAATTTCCCAAGTTACCCTGAATATGACCCTGAGAAACTGGCCTAATTGCAGGGTCAGCCTTAAGTTTGAGCAGAAGGGTTGGACAAGGGACCTACAATGACCCCTTCCAACACAGCTTGTTCTAGGATTCTGTCAGTCAGACAAGTGCCACAGGCTTTTTTTTCCAGGCCTCTTTGCAGCTGTTTTCTCCCTTCTCTCAGCCCATATCCAACCTGCTCAAAGCAACAAGTCTTTCTGGATCTGTTTCCACCCTCCTGCACCTTCCTGTTGTCCTCCCTTCAGCTGCTATTCAGCTGTCTTCACTTTTGTACCACTTCACAGCCCTCAGCATTACTTTTTCCCCTGCTGCCTCCACCCTCAGCACCCCTGCTCCCAGCCTTCCACCCACCAATCCTTCTCCCTCAGTACTTCAATCTCGAAGGTTACTTGCCCCCATTCCCCCTCTGAGGCCTCTTTCTGGGGATGTCCGTGAGCTGACTGAGGGCTGTAGGAGATTCTCCTCATCCAGGGGAATGCCTGGCAGTGCTTTGCCACCACAGCAGAGACCCACAAAGGATACTGTCTTCTCTACTTTTGTCTTGTGTGCTTTCCATTCCAGGCAAGGCAGCTGCCACACGTCGGAAAAGCTGTAAAACACCACACAGGAAACAGATCAGAACAATTCAGGACTGATCTTTAAGGTCCATTCCAACACCTTAACATTCCATGAACAATCATCCACCCTGGTTGACGCAGTTCAAACAATGATTCAACACATCCTTCAGTACTATTTGCACAGCTCAGAGCAAAAAGGCTGACACCAAATACAACCTTTATTCTTAGAAAATGGCAAACCACGTTTCTGTTGTTATTGAAGATCAAATGGCCACAAGGAGCAAAGCTCCTGCACCTTCTCTGCAAATGTGCTGGTTGGGATCCAGCATTTCCACCTCACATCTGCCACAGGTGCCTATGGACCCCAACAACTTCCCTAAATCCGGTGGAAATTTGATTTTCACACCTCCACAGAGGGTTACAAAGGAGCATGGACAAACTGATCAAGTCGAACACAATATCCAGAGTCTGTCACGACTGTCACACACAAAAAAGCCTCAGAAAAGGGGATGGATGTAATGATATCCCTTAAGCATTTTCTTCCAGCCCTTACCTCTCTGTGGGCTCAGGCCCCCAACGAACCACACAAAGGATTTTTCTTTCAGGAATTCACCCAATCCTGACCCTCATCTTTTGGCATTCACTTCAGCATTACTGTATATCCACACTCAGGGTATAAAGCACAGAACAAGCACACTAGACCTCCTAAAGCAGTTGTTCTGCCTCTTCCTTGAACACCATCTCCAGTTTCCTAGCAAGGTTTGGGCTCTAAACTCTCTTCATAGCTTTATTCCACTTCAAGGAGGCTGAGAGGCAAGATGGAACAGGACCAACTCCCTCTCCTGCACTTCCTACCTTCACCCCTGAGGTTCAGACTTGTAGTTCCCATCACAAGGCTTTTCCTTGGTGAGGACCCTACAGATTTGCCCACAAATGCATGAGAATTCACTTGGATTTCTCAAGCCCAGCACAACCTGTCCTAGGAACAGCACAGTTCAGGGCTGTTCTTCACCTGAGGGTGGTTTCTCTGAGAAACCACCACATTCAGTCTGTAGGAACCACACAAGAACAGCAATGATCTCTTTTCCATGTGTCTCATGAGTGCAGAAGGACAGATCAGATGGGTGTAAGGTCAGGTAACACCTCTCCTGTTCATCAGGGTTACCAAATGACTACCTGATTGGCACTTACCCTCAAAGAACATCCCTGGCAGAGCTCTGATCCAATGCTGATGCATTCAGCACACACCCAGACAGAAAACCTGACACACACTGCTTGAATGTTTTTACCCCATTACAGACATTGCTGTTCCTCTGTATTTCCTCCCTGCACATTATCAAGCATTCAGGACTCTAGATGTCTCCAAGCACTCCAGATCTCCATTGCTCAGTGTGTTAAAATTCCCCCATCACATCCCTGGAGTCCCCAAATGCCTGGTGCAGGTCTGACGTCAGACGCAGTTTGTTCCACTGCTGCACATTCCTTCTGCCTCTCCTCAAATGACACAAAGCTAAACCACTTATTCCCAGTGACCCACTTTCCACAGAAAACTGAGCCAAGCCACTGCCAGCCTGTTCACATCAGGAATGTGGGTACCTCAAACAGCTGTGTGAATCCGTGCCCAAGTGCTTTCACCAGTTTGGCTCCAAGTGTCCGAATGATGCTGGGAAGGCATCAAGACAACTTTGTTGGCTTGAGAAATCTCCTCCAGACTAACTGTGAGCAAGTCCCCAGGTGTGTCAGGCAGGGCTGGGACCTTGCAGGGCACACTTGACCTTGACCTCTGCTGTCACCACATGAGGAGAGAACATGGCAGAAGGCAGCAAAGCTGCTTTCACTCACCATTCCCATCATCTCCCTCAGAACCACTCTAGAAACTGCCTTCAGCATCCTCACTCCCTTTTCACCTACAGCAACACTCCCAGTGTGGGCACACAGTGCAACCTGGCCTGAGACAAGGACAGGGGGCTGAGAAGCAGCTCCTTGGTGGAGCTCACAGGTCTCAGTCAACAATTTCCAAGTAAAAAAGCTAAGTATACCTCTTGGTGTTTCTGCTAACCTCTGTCATTAACCTGAACCTTCCCTGGAAACCTCAGAGACACTCTCAGAGGCAAACAAAGACCAGGACAAAATTCCAGCTGCTAAACTGCACTAGGTCCTGCCCCTAAACAGGGGCAGGAATCCACATCTACCCAAAAGTGTAAAGGCAAGAGAGACTTCCTGGCCAGAATTAAGGTAGTTTTGACACAGAGAGAGGCTAAACATTGGTCTAACTGTAATCTTTGTACAAAATAAGTCCTAGGAATTGAGCTTACCACTTCTTGTTCATGATCTGCTTGCCTCACCTCACCACCACTCTGAACCTGCTGGAAACAGCAACATGACTGTCATTTTCCAAACTAGTCAGGCATGAGCACCTTGGCTTCTAGGAATGAGATGGAGGAAAAGAAAGCAGCTGCAGACATTCAGAGCAATCTCCTATCACATCTTCATGGGCAATATTATTTTTTCTTGCCACTCCCATCAGGCAAGAGGACAGCACTGCCAATCTCTGTATCTTTCAGAGGTGTATTGCTATGCTGTCAATGCATAAATGGATGATACGGTAAGCTCAGTCCTCCCTGGAATGTCACTCCACAGCTCCATCTATCCCTATTAGCTCTGCAGAGGATGATCTGTGAAACTTCTTGACCCTCCAACACGT